AGTGCAACTCTTGCCTCATCATTGTACAGTCATCAAAATATTGCTTTTCAACAAGGAAAAAAAAAAGAGGAAAATCATCTCCCCCTGCACATCTAAATAATATCTTGGCTATAAGCAGCAAGTTATATCAAAACCTCTGAAAGAAACACACAGTCTCCCTTCTGATTTTAGCTGGTAGAGCTTTTTCTTTTTTCAGTCATCTGAAATAACTGCATTCCTGCTGATATTCAGCGTTCAAATGGCAGCATTTTGGCAGGACCCAACTTGCAAAACTTTATTCGATTGACACTAAAAATTTGATTCACAGTTAATTTGGAAAAGATATCAGTATTTCCTAATATCAGAAATGTAGCTTCTATACGTTTTAAAACCAAATCCAGCTCATCCTTAATCACCTCAGGGAGATGTGTAATATCTTTCATTGTATTGAATTGTTCAGGAGTGCACAGGATTGGTTTGACAACTGACAAATAAATAAAAACAGTAACAGAAGGAAACAATAGTAAGACAAGAGCACCTTTCTTCCATAAACTGTAAGCAGATTAATGTACAGTTGATGGTAAGAAATACCATCTTTCTGACAATGAGACAGTGTTTTAAGTTACAATCAAAATATGAAATTCAACTCTGTCATCAGGGACTTTGCCTACAAATATCTTGTATGCAGATGTGAAATCTGTTCTCTGCATATTTCCTCTCTAAAAACATTATATATTCATGTTTTAGGCCATTGAATTTATGCTATTTGTAGTGCAGAATATGAATCTATACACTTGTATCAAGAGGTACAATGAGTATAATAAATTGTTTATTAAAGGTTGTTGGAAATTTGAGTTTAAATCTGGATTTTATGGTTTAATTCCAGTAGAGTGCAGAAACATGTCCCCACAGTGTAATGAATCTATGGTGATGAGAAACAGCAAGGGCAAATTAAACATGTCAAGCTTTTTCTTTAACATTGCAACCCAAACCAAAGCTTTTTCTGTCCTTCAGCTGTCAGAGTCACATTTTAAAGCAAGATATAGACCTGGAAATAAGCTGAAAAGTAGGAAACAATGGAAATATTTTCGGGAAAAAAAAGTTTATCATCTTCGTATTTTCTCCTTTTGCCTGCTGAAACAGTAAAGATAATGATTGAGACGAGCTGTATGGAAGGCAGTTATGTACAGCGAGTTTATCAAAAAAGAGTCACCTACAGTTCTGTATTACTCAAATGTCCTTTTCATTTCATCTTTATTTAAACCTAAAGATATACAGTATATTGTTTTACTCTACAGGAAAGTTACACAAATGATCCCTTTTTAAATATTCGTAAGGTGTTTCCTCATTTAGATACTAAATATTTAATAATTTATGTATAGTTTGGTGAAGATGAATAGTGTAATTTGATCCTGGTGGTCTAGTTAAGTTTCTAGAAGAAAAGCCTTATATCTGGTTCGGTTCATTGTGAGAGAATCCGGTACCCAGACCCCCAGCGGACTGATCCGACTGACAGACAACATTGCCTCTAGTCTACTCTGTGTTGTCTAAAGAAGAAGCACACGGCACAAGAACGGGAATCACCACAAGAAAAAGCACACAGCATCGCCGTAGAGGACTCAACAGAGGAGGAAGGGATCAAACAGAAAGAGGACTTTAAAACAAAAACAGATAAAACAAAAAAGAAACAAAAAAAGAAACCAAAAAAAATAAACAAGTTTTTTTTCTCGATAGAAAAAACAGCAAACATGAAACACACATCGAGGCTGAACTACATTTTTTTTCTTTTTTTCTCAGTTTTGTTTCCAATAAAATGTCTTATGTTAGAATTATAATCTGTATAATTTACAATATACAATGTTTAAGAAGGCTGAGAAAATACCCCTTACTAATAATGCTGATGTTTGATACAGAGCGTGTGATGTTAGAGATCAACTACACTTAAACTGCAGCACTTCTCAGCTGTGATAAGTTGCCATTTAATATTAGATTACCCCATCATCTACATGACATGTTTTGGCATTCTTATTCAGCTTTAGAAATTACATAAATAATGATATAACAAAAGCTGACTGTCTTCAACTGTTAAAGCTGTGATCAGTCTACCATATGCATTCTTGCTATAACAATGAAACCAATGCTTCTTTACTTGACTATAAATGTAGGACAATTTGCGGTTAGCTTTCACTTTTCATTTCCTGTTATTAGACATTTGAATTTGACAGACAACAGTTTTGTTGATGTCTGTTATATTTAATATTTTCTCCATTTTGAGTCAGTTTAGCTGAAATAATCAGTCATGTTTTAATTTATTTTTTTTTTGCTAGCTCTCATTTGTTTACTTTAAACAGAGGCAAATCAAGCTCATTTAAATTGTGATGAATTTCCTATTGCAATTTAGTCTGTAGGCCTCTTTTTATGAATTATATTCGTTGAGATAGTTTTTGGTACAAGATTAATGATGTTTACCATGACAACACCTTATTTTCTCTGTAACTTTAAAACAAAATGTCAAACAACAAAGTTGAACAGCAAGCTAACAAGAAACTGTCAGTGTCATGTCTTTTTTTCATTATTCATTTATTTTTTTAAATTTGGATAATGTTTGGTTTTTGCTAGCACTATTTCCCTCAGTACAAATCTAGATTTTGTCTGGTTATTCTGATGGTCCCCACACTCGGTCACACGACTAAAAAATGAAAATGGACAAAAACTGTGTATTACTAAACCGTTGACTTTGAATAGCTGTTTTGTTTTAATCAGATTAAACATGACAGCAAAAAGTGCCTTGTCACAAAAAAGGTGCAAACATCAGAACCATGTGATAACTGCAAACTGGGTGTTGTATATTTTAGTTTTTAGCTGCTTATTTGACCTCTTTAATCCTCGTACTGACCATTATTCACACAGCATTAATGTGACAGCAGCATTAAAATCTCATACTGACATTCCTGGTCCATATTTGTTCCTGCCTAACTGTTATTAACAAAGGAAATATTGACTGTTATCTAATAGCTTATGGCAAGTTACACAGAGAGAAAGAGAAGCTACAAACTCTCCTCAAATCCCCATCCTCTCTCTCCCAAATTTAAGACTGGCACGTTATGTTAATATTGCAGACTTAGTCCATATGCACAAACCCCTCCTCTAAAAACCACTATTGCTCAGAGTTTCTAAGATAAACGCTGATTTGTTAATACATTATTACTTGTTATATTTATATATATATGATAATTGCTGACAGTGGTCAAGCTGAAAAAAGGAAAGACATATTGATTGATTCAATTTTAAGAAGACAATATCAATAACAAAAACAAAGCCGTGGTATATGTCATATACAGGATGACAATTATTTACAATCCTAATATTGGTATCATCGCTAAGATTATTTTCAAGATATAAATTAAGAAAAAAAATAAGGAGTTTGAAAGCAACAATAGTTGTTTTTCAGTCAGTTTTGTCAGCACACCTTTCCTTCTGGTTTGTATTGCGTTGAGTGACTGAAGCTCCCTCATCACTCGCTGAATGAATCACAAAAATATCTCTATACTGACACAAGAGATGAGCTGGAAGTTGTGAATGCAAAAGAGCAAGGAGAGGAAGTGACATTTTTAAGTTTTTGGAGTTTGGGTAATAAGCATGGGCTGGACTATTCTTAATGGCACTATTCTCATTGACAGAATGAAATCTCTACTAACTGGTATGTGGAGAGCCGCAAACCTGGGCCACTGAGCAGCTGAAAATGTCCCAAACAGATGTCCAAACACAAGAGGAGTGTTTGACAGAATATATAGCATCACAGAGCATGTGAACTGAGCCTACATCTACCACTTAGCCACGCAGGAATCCATTCTTGTATAGAGTATAGATCAAGTCTTGTTCTGTTATTTGTAAGTAATATTTTTACTGATAAACTCTATCAGTTAATCATTCCTCAAGTGGTTAGAATATTTGAAACCATTTTCAGCCATGTGTACAAATGCTGATACTGTGGTAATACTGACAGGTTTGGGAGGCCAGGGTCCCTGGTCCTCAACAAATACAACAAATGGTAAAGTTGTAGTTGAAGTAAGGGATTCATGGGAAATCAGGAACTGAATTTAGGGAGAACCAGAGAGTGTTTACAGCTATGGTTTTACAATCCTGATCCTTGAAAGTCTGCTGGTTTTATTTTAACCACAACAATTTTAAATAACTGGTGGGGCAGAAAACCAGCAGTGCTCTTAAGCCCAGGACTGAAATCCACTGGTAGATCAATCCAGAAACAGTTTGGGGTTATGACAATAAAGTTTGCTGGCATCCTCTGAATGGATGAGCTCCATTCTTTGGCAGGGCAAATCTCCTCTTCTTTTCTTTCTGTCCATCCATCCAAATTTCATTGTACACATAATTTGACAACAAACGTTAATAACGTTAATACTTCTTTCGTGTTCATTTTTTTCCCACTCGTTTTCTTCTTGAACACTTAAAAAACTCTGTTGGGGGAAATAGGGAGGGGAAAAGGAGACACGAGTGCAGTCTTAGAGTCTCTCAGAACTAAAATGAAGAGTTTTCAGTTTCTTTTAAATGTGTCCTCATTTAAGTGTTTGTCATTAATAACATCTTAATTGTTATTAAATGCATAAGTGACTGTTTTGCCAACATCAGTGTTCGGAGTCACCGTGGAAACTGTTATGTGATTGTTCATAGTTTTAAAAGGAAATATCATCTTCCCTTGGTAATAGGGGGCCATGTCAGTCCATCAGCATTGTCCCCAAAACAGAAGGTCAAGTGAGCGCCCTTTTCTCAAAGACGGTGAAGTTTTAGGGGTTCAGGTAAGAGGTTTAGATTACTTGTTTATTCAAAGGGGGATGCGTCAGCAGACATACTTCAGGAACATATTTCTGTGAGGGTGTGCGTGTGGGTAAGAGTGTGTGCGTGTAAAAGAGCAAGAGGTCATTCAAAGTTGCTGTGTTGAATTTGAGGTGAAGCTCAGGTGGTTCAGACTGGTGTCTGGCTGTCCTCCATCTACTCTCCTGTCCTCAGACCTTGGCTTCCAGCAGCTCCAGGAAGAGTTTGTGCATTGGGACTTTGCCATCCTGCTTGATGCTGTAGAAGTGCTGCACAGCCTTGGTGGAGGTCTGGCGGAGCAGGGGGAGGGTCATGAGCAGCTTGCCCGCCCGGCGGGGATCCTCCTGGTGCTGGGAAGCCTCATAGTCCTGCAGGGCCTCATGGAGCACATCCTGGAGCTTCTGCACTGCATCCACATCTTCAATGTGCATGGAGTCTGAAGAAAGAGGGCAGAAAAGAAATAAAACAACAAATAAACAAATAATAAAAAGAACACATACATACACAAACATTGTAGAATATATTCCAACACACTTCTGTATGACAATGATGTTTTATTGATTAAATCTGGTCCCTTCCTCAGTGGCCCTCATTCAGCCCATCATAGTATTTGAAGATATGATTATGTTGTGCAATGTAATTGCATAGCTTTGTATCTTAGTTCTGACATATCAAATAAAAACTTAAAAAAACTTGTGTTTTGCAGTGTAGAGTCCCACAACTCTCAAATTATGTTTACACTATGCGTCTTTGTCAGTGCCTGTGCCCCCTCTGTCTGCTGTGTTATTGCCCAGTGCCACAAAGGGGAGAGGTGCTAAAGACTCAATCCAAAATCCAAACATGAACAAAGGGTGCTACAGAAAACCATAGCTCAGGGTTTGAAATTCTATGCTACTGATTTAAGGAGTAATAATACTGCATATTAAAAAAGTACAAAAATGCTTACTACTTAAATACTTGCATTTGATTATGAATAAAATAAAAACATCAGTGTTTTATTCTGCAGACTGAGGAGAATGATTGTTAATCATTACCCTAGAACTACAGTTATCAATGTAGTACTTTGTAAACTCCCTTTCAAAATGCCTGCATGCATTTTTAAATTCAAAACCAACAATTTATAGCTGAAACTATCTAGGAATGGGGCTTTAAATTCAGGAGCTGCTCTGTTGTCTTTCTTTAAAGTGTGGATCTGTGGGTGTGATGAATGGATGGAAAAAGAGACGAGTAGGCGGAGAAAAAAGAAATAAACTTGTAGAATGATGGAGAGATTCAGGAACACCTGAGAGTCTGCGTGTGTGTGTGCGTGTGTGTGTGTGTGCATGCGTGCGTGCGTGCGTGCGCGCAACAAACATCTGTAATCTCTCTTTGAGCTGGATGTAAGGTGTGTTTCAACATTTCTGGCTGTAAAGGCTGAGAATGTCCCTCAGTAATAATGCTCCATATTGCCCCTTAGGGAGGCAAAGTCTTAATGTGAGCTGGCCTTTAGCTCCCAACCTCCGATCAATGTCTCCGATCAATGACTACATGCATGTTAAATAATAATCACAAGACAACTATTGATAGGCACCCGGCAGCCCCCCCCCTCCCGCCCAAGACACCCCTACATGAACATACACACACACACACACACACACACAAAATTGCTACAGCTTTTCATATATAGACACACACATACACGTGCACACAAAGAATGATAACACAATCTAATGCAGGCACTTGATATAAATGAACTGCATGAGGTTATCGGAAAATATCATATGTGTGAGTATACTGGTAATTGGGAGAATATATAACATGTAAGTGGTGCACAAACTCTGGTTGGCAGCTTTTGTCATGATCTTTTATCACAAAGTGATATTTGATAGCAACATGTCAGAGTGATAATGTGTATGTGTATGTCAATGTATATGTTTTATATCTGACCCCATGTTGTTAAGCTTTTGCATTGTTTGTCTGTTAGAGCAACTCTGGCCTATGTCTTATTCAAACATATTCTCACACTATCCACATGCACAGGAGTTGAACACAAGCACAAAAAAACACACACCAACCCTGGTATAAAAAGTATGGATGCACACAAGCCTATATTTAATGACAAGTGACAAATAAAAAATATACTGTGCAGACAAAATAAATTTCACATAAAATGTGTTAACACGGCACCTACACATAAATGTGCACATTTACACACACAAACACAATCAAATACGCAGGGTTGGATCTATAGAGTGTAATGCATGTATCAGTATGCAGGACCAGACATTGGGCTGGATTCTATAGGGATCAATAAAAAACTCAGCTTCCATCGGTTTTCTACTTTTTCCTGGTTTAAATAAGAGTGGGTGATCCACTTGTCTGGGTTCTTTCATACTTAGCTGTATGATGGTATTTTGCTTAGCATTATTAATTATGAAGGAGGGGAAAATATATCCTTAAAAGTTCATGAGATTAATTGAAGTTCATATTCACATTTTTGTGTATATACAGAACATACAATATAATCTGCAAACAGTTTAAACTACTGTTTTCAGATCTCGTTTTTTGGTCAGTATATACCTAATTTTTGAAAATGTTTTTTTTGTTGCTTTTCAGTTGTTATAAACAATTTTAGGCCAAATATTTAGCAACCTCTTATACAGCATTGCTTGTTAAATGAACATAATGAGCATAAATGAGCATAATACAAAGTAAAGCAGCAAACATAAGAAAGCAGGACAAGCACGTAATGCACATGTACAAAATTTACTATTGAATAAGCATTGTTAGTAACAATGAAAAAACAATCCCCTTCTTCTCTTTATTCTTCCATTTAAAATAAGTGGTTTCCTGAAGCACAGTCTATAATTACCATAATTTAAACTGAAGTTTAATGAGTTTCAAATAGTTTTTGATTAATATTGTGTGTTTAAGCTGGTAGGCACGGCTGCTGCCTGTGCTGTGACCTGCAGTACACTGACAAGTAAAACAGCAGACGTTAATGAGCACAAGCACATGAAGCTGTTAAAACACACGTTAACATGGAACTCACAATGCACACACATACATACATGAATGCACACACGCATGCACGCGCACACACGCGCACACACACACACACACACACACACACACACACACACACACACACACACACACACGTGCCTCCTGTTTCCCATGGCTAGTTTAGCTGCCTTTACATGTGGGGCACGTTTGCTAACATTTCTTAAGGCTTGGCTTCATTAATGCAGACGATTAGCATCCTGTGAATTAATTAGTGTCAGTGCCCTTCAAAATGCTAATGCTAGCATTCTGTTGTCTTGAAGAGCAGTTACAGGGTCTGGCCAGTGATGCAAAGTTCTTATTTGGGTGTCAGCTGTTTCCATTTCAATCAGTTAAAAGAATGACTATTTCACATGTGAGTTTTCTCAACACTGGGGGAAGCTTTAGTGGAGAAATTACTGTTGAGATTTATCTGGATATTTCTTTTTTTAGTTTATTCATTGGGTGTGGTTAACTGGCAAATGTGTTTCAGCTTCAGAGAGAGTTTAGCAATGTGTTATTTCCACCTTCAGAATAAAACTGGACATACAGACTGCCAGTTGGTCAGCTATCTCTCCAGTGTTTCATCTGCCTTCAGCCTGACAGCATCAATATCTATTTCTCAGTCAAAATGAAAGTGCAGTATGATACCTCACAATATACTGTGTAACCAGATTTTTTAGGTAAAGCTCAGATAGGTAAATGTTGGTGGACAAAGCTCTGGAAACAACCATTTAATAAAATGCAATCCAATTCAAACCTACTAACCACCTACTCAAAAACTACGATAGATGGGTCTATAGCTCACACAATTAGTTCAATAATCATTGATTATTTGATCTACAAAAAATTAATTGGCATCCATTTTGATAATTTTGACAATGTGAGTAAATAATTTTAAGTTAATTTAAGTTCAAGCAAAAATGCTTTTTTTTTTAATTCTCCGCTCTGCTTTGCAGTTGTTTTGGATCACATTGGACTATACAAGTGTTTCTAATAAATCTGTCAGCTTGTGTCTTTCTTTGTTATTTTTAATGTTCCCATTATAATGAGTATTTAAAGAACCATACAATAGAACTAGTAACAATTATCAGCAACATTTTGTCATTGATATTCTGAATCTTTTAACATTGCACTGCATAACTATTCAGTTTTATTTTGAAATCATCAATGTGTACACCAGACTAGCCCTCTGACCCCAGCTGGGACACTGTTGGGCCTAAAGGCAACAAGGTTCATGTAACGCCAAATAATTCATCATAATCATCATCATGATCATCAATACTGTTGTCCCAGCCAGCAGTTCCAGCCAGTTTTCTCAGCTTTCAGTCAGCAGCATTCATACACCAACAGACACACTTACACACATGCACACACACATGTTCAGAGCCAAGAGATTGATTGTCACACATAGCCCACAGGAAAACAATATGTCAATATTTTCTGCATGTGCATGACAGTAGATACTGTATGTGTGTGAGCAAACATCTCTCTGTGGTTCACATTTAAGTACACACTAATGTAAGCGTGTGTTTATGCATATGTCAGAGAGATGAAACTTTGGCATATTTGTGGGCATGTGTGTCTGTGTGTATGTGTGTGAAAGTGTTGGTGTGTGTGTGTCCATGTGCGTGTGTGTTGATGATGGCAGAATCTGAACAAAAGGCTGCCTCCCTCCCTATTCAAAGCTCTTCCATTGCATTCTCCCATTTAAACACATTGTATTGACAGCTCCCCCCTTGTAATTAAAGAGTACTGAAGAGCTGGCCGGCTTCCAAGACAAAGTTCAAAAGACGGGTCATGGGAGGGAGAGGGCGTGTGTGTGTGTGTGTGAGAGAGTGTGTGTGTGTGTGTGTGTGCGTCAGTCAGCTGTCGATGCAGCTGGACACATCAGAGAGGGGGCTTTATCGACGGACTTTGGGTTCTAATGATTTCACCTTATTTAACAGGCATCTGAAGAGACGACTATGCTAATTGTAAAAGGGATCGTCACTTTGTTTGGGGGTGGGCTTCAGGTTGAAGATGTGCGTGTGTTTGTGTGGTACGTCTGTGTGTTTATGCATGTGTAACCTGTACTGATTGTAGGTATGTGTATGACTATTAAGAGCATGATAATACAACTGTGTGTGGCTTTAACAGAAAGTAGAAGGTTTGACAACTGCAGCTATTGTAAAAGAAGTGTGTGTGTGAAAGTATGTGTCATGTGTGTGTTTGGATGCAGTATTGAAATCAGTCCTTTGATGATTCAGTTTAAATGAGTCCCATAGGACTGGAGATTTCTCGGATTAACTCTTTCTACATCAGCCCCAGTCTTGTGCTCAAGAGCTAAAAACACACAGACAACAACAAAAGAATTTCAAACCTGAGTTAGCCAAAGCAATGGCCTTGAGAGTGACAAACTCCTCCTTCTCGAGTTTCATAGATTTGTATTTCTTGACCAGCTGAAGGATGGCGTTGTTCAGGTCCAGAAGTCCAGCTAGCTTTGACTGGTCCTCGTCCATTATGTAGTCCTCAGCATACACCAACTAAAGAGAAACACAGAGAAGTGGAGAGGTTGCAAATTAACGTGTGCTATGTGTCTATAAATACATAGATTTCATAAGAGCAAGAGACAAACATGATGCCAAAGACACTAACCTTGTCCTCAAAGGACAGTGAGCGATAAACGACACGCAGGATCAAGATCTCCATCCATGCGCTCTGCAGTAGACTCATCTGGTCTGCCAAAGACAGCGTGGAGAAACCTGGAGAAGATGGAAACAAAGAAAAGCAAGAGGAATTTTTTATTTGAAATTTTAGCTCCAAAACACTTCAGAGTTAAGAAGTCTGACTTTTACTATATCACACTGTGTGTGTGTTCTTTTAGTAGTTTGGCAATGATAAATATCATTGTAGTGATACTGTTTCCATTTCACAGTAATGCTGGTAAAGTAAATGAAAAGGCATTTAAAAGTGAAACTAACAAAGAGTAAAGGGAATGAAAAAGAATAGAGCCTATTTTGAAGCTAGTGAGAGGGTCAAGATCGGCCCTCCTCCCTTCCCTCCCTGCCCACCCTCCATCCATCCAGCTGACCAGAGTCCTCCTCCACCTCCTGTTCCCTTGTGCCCAGGGCTGTTCTCTGGGGAAAGGCAGGCCTTATCTCCCCCTGACACAACCTCCATGGATCAATGCTAGCAATCGCTGCTGCACTGCTCAAACACACACATACACATACACACACACACTAATTGCTGCTATGGCCTCAAAACTACTGCTTTCTCCGATGTCAATCCATGTCTTTCTATTTGCCTACGTCTATATCTGTCTGTCTCTCCAATTGCAATCCATGCCTTTTTATCTGTCAGTGTCTGTTTACGACTGACCATCTGTGTGTCTGATTCTGGCTTCACCTTTTTCCCCCAACCATCTTGATACATCTGTCTGCATGTCCTGCTTGAGTCTCTCTGTGCACATTTTTTCTGCCTTTTGATAGTTTGATCTGTTTTTATTTTTCCTTGTACTTTCACTTTCTCTGGCTCTTTTTTCTACAATCATTTTGTTCGTGCTATGTTCACATCTTCATCTCATATCTTTCGATTACGTTCTTGCTTAAGTTCACCAGTCTCTTGCTTGTTGTCTCTCTGTCTCTCTTTCTGTCTGTCTCTTTAATGGAACACCTGCCCACTCACACCTTTCCTCACAGCTGTCCTCTCCTCACACACCTGTCCATTCACACCTGCCTGTCTGCCTAAGTGTGTGTGTGCATGCTTTCATAGGAAAGGCAAAGACAGTGGCCCATGTGAGCACACCTGTCAGACCTCGCTGCAGCCCTCCATTGTGTTTTTGTGTGTGTGTGTTTGAGAGGAGCATCCTGCCAGGAGAAGCGGGCAGATGAGAAGGAGGATATTTCTCCAACAACATCTGCTGCGGTGTGTCTCCTCTTGAGATGGTATGTGTGTGATAGCGTCTGTGTTGGTGTGTTTGTGTGTGTGCATGTGCATTAGGGGCTCTTATCTCACAGTGTGTTGATGGGTAATGGCAGGCGTCTCATTATGTCCAGGTTGCAGGCTATTGTTGTTTGTAATGTGCTCTAATTCATTCTATCTGCAACTGTTAACATCTCCAACAAACACACTGACACACATACAGTATATAAACATTGCTCTGCACACACGCACGCACGCACGCACGCACGCACGCACGCACGCACACACAGTATCATATAGGAACATACTGGAATGAATCCAAATGCGTATGATTGATACACGCACGCACGCACGCACGCACGCACGCACGCACGCACGAACAGGCAGACAGACAGACAGACAGACAGACAGACAGACAGACAGACACACACACACACATACACACACACACACAAAACCACACAGTGAAGGGAGAAGTATCGTTGCCAACTGGCAGTGTCTTCTTCTACTTAATGAAATCATCAGAAGGGATTAGAGGTGAATTTCTTAAGGGGGTCTTCATTCACACACACCCACCCACACACACACATCTCATTCACAGAGGCAGATGTCTTTGGGGTGGGGTGTGAGGGGGGGTGCCTTAGGACTTAGGGCAGTGGAAATGAGCGCTGGCATTGCTAAAATTAACACACATACTCACACTTATTGAATCTGTTCAAACCCCAGGGTCAAGTGAACAGAAGAAGACGAGTGAGAGGTTAATATCATTTAATGGTGTCACTGGTTGTGTGTTTTAACTTGTCTCTGTGTTTTTGGTGCTCTGGCATTGGGAGCAGTGCAGAGGGTTCAATCAATCCTTGCACATCTCTCTGTCAGAATTTGATCTGGGGGCAGTGGGTGCACGCATGATGAGTACACATTAGGTAAAAAAAAAAAAAGAAAAAGAAGTGCATCAAAAACATGTCTGCATCACCAGTTGTTCGTTAACAATAGGCTTTGGACATACCTGTCATCAACTAACATCTCCCTCTTAATTACACATAAAATGCACACATATACCAACACACACACTAGGAAACACCAATAATTAAAACCCGTGATTAATTTATTGAGCTGAAAGTGCACCTTCTTATTGAGGTACATCAATGATTTTTATCAGGATGTGGTCTGTGTGTGTGTGTGTGTGTAGCTGTGTGGTGTGTGCTTTTCTAAATATGTGCATGCTTATATTGTGTATTTGAACACTATGTACATAATTGCACTGAGAATGGCTTCTTGTTTCATCAGCATGTTTGTATTCTTTGTGTATGCTTACATTCCTATACATATGTTTCTGCGAGTCTCTGCATGTGCGTCTCTATCCGTGTGTGTTTCGGTATGTTTGTGTATGTGTGTGTATGTGTGCCTGCCTGACCCCCTCCCCTCCCCACCAGCCTGTCTGCGCCGTTCAGCCATCCAATGCCTCTTATCTGTCTGATTAATAGGCGGCCGGCTTCAGGACAAATTAATTAACAGATAACGCCATCTCTCCCTTCTTCCCTTCCTCCATTCCTCCCCTCCTTCTCATGAAGCGATCGATACAGCAGAAGAAAAGAAACATCAATGGGAATTTAGTGCTGATGATGGAGAGAGAGAGGTATTGATGGGGAGAGAGAGAGCATGAGGAAGAGTGAGATGCAGGAGAGAAGAAAGTAAAGGGAGGAGAGTTGTTAGAAGGAGAGATGGTGGTGGTGGTGGGAGGGGTGGAGACCTTTCTTTCATACCTGTGATTTCACTTGACAAAAGAAGGTTCCTTATTTGGCTCTAATTACATTTCCTTTCTGCCCATTGTTGATAAGGCATCTCATACTATGTGTGGAAGCATGTGTGTGTTTGTGTTTGTGTGGATGTTTTACACCTGGTGTGCTGTTTGCTGTGGTGATGGTGGGCTGAGCTGAATGTATAGTAATTTACAAAGAAAATGAAATTCAAAGCTTAAACATATTAACATAAACTGTAAAGAACATGACCTGCAAGTGAAGCCATATGTTCCTTAGAAACACACTGGACATATGCTTACGTCTTTATAATGAGGTATATTACTAAACTATGTATTCTGAGCATTTGTTTTCCAAAAGTGCAGATAAGAAGTCTATTCACAGCCTACATGAAATGTCCAAACCCAAATACTATCCAACTTAATTCAAATATGGCTATTGTGTGAGTTCCAATAACACAGAGGATTTACAGTCTCTTGTCATACATCTATCTCTCCTCCTCTGCGCCTTACTTTCCTCTAATTTGACAGTATGAACCTGCAACCCTGTCTCCTAAAAACAACCTTTATACCGCCCAGAGACAAAACATTTGAATGAACAAATCTACAAAGAAGCTAATTGTTCATAAACCAAAAAGATCTATAAGTTCACTGCTATATTTCATTGTTTTTTCCTACAATATCTGCTTGTGGCAACTAAAGGATGATCAAGGTAACTCAAAGCACAAGTTAAAATAGGACACAAACCCAAACACCCTCTGGTGTCAAAGTTTTGTACTTTGTATTCCCACCATTCACCCCACCCACCTTCCTGCATGTTTTCTGCAGTATTAGGACATAAAACCTCCTGTACTGGACGCATTGCCAGTGAAAATAATCCAGGAAACAATTGTAAGTCCTACTAAGCATATCTGGCAAAAACATTTAGTGGTATCCTAAAGTATTAGGATGCTCCATTGTGTCTATGGAGGTACAGATAAAGATAGTGTGTGTGTAGGTATGTGTGTGTTTGCATGTGCCATACATTGGTCTGACAGAAAGAGGCTGCAGTGCAGTCATGCAGACTTAACCTCTGCTGCTTGCTCTCGCGCTCTCTTTCTTTTCTCTCTTCCCTTTGCTCTATCAGATACACGCATTAAGACAAACACACACACAAACACACGTCGATTCCCCAGCCACCCTGCGGCCTGTTTGTCTGCCAAATGAGTCCTGACTGCACGTTTACACCCGAGACCGCACAACAGTCTGGCGCGCACACACGCACACACGCACACACACACACACACACACACACACACATATGATAGCCCTCTCTCACACCCCAGTTGCTACACAGACCCACACGAACACACATGTCCAAGAGGCCTATATTTGTTTTCTTGTGGTTACAGGGCAAATGGGAACCAGTAAGAACCAATTGTGATGCTTATGAGTACCTGTGCCCTTGTGTGTGTACAGTTTATGGCATTTGTGAGGCTATTTTTATGTGAATGTGAGTCTGTGTGTTTGTATTATAATGCCTGTGTATGTCTGCAATAACTGATGCATCAAAGACAGGTGCAAAAACTGGTTGCAATGCTGATCTGGTCCAGTTATTAACACATGGCTTGTCTTCACATGCTGTCACTGTAGTAAAAAAGTTGACTTATATATAGTATTTGTGTGTTAGCTTAGAGCACCTTGAAAGCTTATTTAAAAAAAAGGAGACTGCAAGTATAGTTTAGGAGGTGAAAGTAAATCAAATCTTTAATGATTACAAGATATTAACGTCTGAGTCGAATGCACACTGAACTGAAGTAATTCACTATGATTTGATCTTGGAAGTCTCTCTGACAATATTTTCTTACTCAAAACATTGAAACAAACAAATTTCTTGACTTCCTCACTCTTTTCTTCACACAAAATATCTTTCTCATGACCACTTTAAGTTTATTCCTTAAAGGGTTTTGTTTCAGGATAGCTACAGTAGCCCTTGTTGTATATCTGAATGCATAAGCCATTTTGTAAATAAAAGACATTGAATTCTAAACGAATAATGTTCATTTTTCACTGGCAACAGCATTTTGATTGTTGTAATAGCTC